GGGCTCTTCTTTGTGGGGGCTCAGGCTCAACTGGTATTTCTTGTATTGGATTAACCTATAAGCCATTTGCAAAAACTTAGGTCCCGGCGAGATTCGAACTCGCGTTACTGGATTCAAAGTCCAGGGTGTTAACCGCTACACTACGGGACCAATTGTGCACGGAGGCTGACGCGCTCTTGACGAGGCAGTGACGCGGATAACGAGGCTGACTCATTGATCAGGATTGTCAGGTTCTGGCCAACATACTCTGCGTTTGGAGGTTTTGGGGTGAAAACTGGCACTGGGTTGGGCAGGACTAGGAGCGGGATTGCTGGACGCATTGAAATTGCATGGATTGGTCGGCGAATCGCCGACAATTCAATGGAAATGCGTATGTTTTCGTCTCGTCACTACTATGTGCCGTCCCCCATAGGGTGCTGTTTTCGTTGGACAGATGCCAATTAGGGCTGTCCGTTGTCTGTTTATTCACTCAACCCTTATCTGAATGCACAATCAGCTCCAGACGTCTTACTTCAGCTGTCGTGAACTTCTTCTGGTGAGATAAGTGGTTTGGCAGATGAGTTACCCGTAGTCTTTTTCATACCTCTTTGCTCGACGATTATTCAGAGTTTAGCATTTAGATTTAGCGCGAGTTCGGAGGGGGATTCAAAATATCCCCATGCAAAACTGTGATTGTTATCAGGGCACGTCCTGCCAATGGTGAGACTTTCTGCAAAATGCCACCCCTCCCTCAAAACTCGGTCCTCTGCCGCCCTTCCACATACCACATCTCACCCACCATCTTCTTTGACTTTTCCGATTTATTTACCACTTTTCCAAGGCTTTTTTTTCAAAAGTTCTCCATTTTCTCCTTGGAAAACTACCGCCGCGCCCAGCGGGGACAGGGCACACCATTAGGTGGGGATTTTGGTCGAGTCCGTGCAACACTTCCCCCTCCCATTTTTTAAAGGGTTGGTACGACCCCCCTCCCATTTTTAAAGGGTTGGTACGACCCCCCCCCCTCTTCCCCATCCTACTGACCACTTTCTTCGTATCTTCAGTTTTCCCAGCTTCCTAGCACACTTACCGGAATTCCCCGAAAATTTCCTACTTTTTCCCTTTTCCCAGAAAGTTTGCTGTCGAGCGGGTGGAGGGGAGGGGTATATAGTGTATAGGGAGGGGGAAAACCCACGAAAAAATCAACAACCCCCTCTCTCTC